TTTTTTCGGCCAAAGAGAGGTCGAATCGAAATAAAAAGTATATATTCGTGATCAGCTTTTGAAGGGCTTTCAAACCATATATAAACGAACGAGAAAAAAAATTCACTCCAGTTTTGCATTACCGGCATCTTACTTTATGATAATGATCAAATGTCAGCTATATATCTGGAAGAAATAAAAAATAATTCAGAAGGAACAGATTTCTACGAATATTTCGAAGGAAATTGGCTCTCGTGTTGCGAAATGTGGCAAACAAAGCATCATAAAAGTCTATTTAAGTTTGGTACCGATACGAATAATCATATTGAACGGTTTAACAGAATATTAAAAGATTATACATCACCTAAAATGTACATATCTGAATGCGTAGCAAAATTGATTTTGATTGTTGAAGACGCTAAAGCCGATGAAATGAATATAAATATTAATTTGAAACAAAAGATTTATAATTATGATGATTCAGCGTTGCTTAAAAGATTTGGTTCACAAATTACAAGTAAAGCTATTGAATTATTACGAAAACAAAATGAAAAACTTAAACATAAACATTACTTTATCAAAGAAATTGAAGAAAGTAGATGGAAAATCGGTCATAAAGACGAAGAAGAAAATCATTTTATTACTACAAGTATAGTTTATCGCAACCCATATGAAGACTTATTATTTTGCAACTGTCAATTTTATTTACAGAATCAATTACCGTGTCGACATATGATAATCTTACTTGATAGAAATACCGATGAGTTATACGATCAAGCAAATAAAATACAAGAAGTTTTTTCAATTAACAAGCAATGGTTAAAAAATCCAGCTGGTTATTATATAAATGAAATTGATGATTGAAACGATGATACCGCACAAAATTTTGATTTACAATTTATGATACCTCAAATTACAACTCAAAAACATAAAACTTTAAATACTAATGAGAAGTATAATACTTTGAAGTCAACTTTAGATTTATTAACAGCTCGCATAATTGAATGTGGAACTAATAAATTTATGGAACATCTAAATTATCTAAATATTCTTCTACATTTTATCAATATAAACTAACATAAAAAATCGTACGATTATGCAAATTTTTTAAAAGACAATTATTCCAAGCATCAAGATCCGAAAGCCGAACAAGAACTATTTATGAATCTATGTGATGATATTCAGCAAGGAACAACAGCAGAAAAAGTCAAATTTCGATTATATAGAAGAACTTGAAAAACAAAATCACATGGAATGTAATCAAGAAGAATTAAAAGAAGAATATGAAGGGACGGTTTTTGAAGAAAAAGAAAAAGATCTATCAATTTTAGGACTCGTATTAGAAGTCGAAGCAAAAGAAGAACAAGATCATATATTAGCAAAAGAAAAAATAATTTTCAGTTATTCACCAGTAGTTACGCCTTCTGGTAGACCTCGTGGTAAGGCATCGTTAGTGGCTTATAAACAAAAAGATGATGAAAACCATCAAAATAAAATTAATAAAAAAAGAAATTATAAACATGTTTCACCAGATATAAAAAGATATAATTATAAACGTAATGAAAACGTTGATTCAGTTCGTGACGTTTATGATAATACAACATGGTTAACGGATTTTCATATATACTTATTCTTCGAATTATTACATGAACAATTTCCAACATTAATGGTTTATGTGGTCCAGCACAAATTAAATTATACACAGGTTCATTGAAGAACTCAATCTTTATTTTCAATGCAAATAATAACCACTGGTTAACAATCTCAAATTTCAACTCTAATGATTTTTGAAAAGTTTATGATTCATTAAGTTATCCAAAAGAATCATTAATTCAATTTTTTAAAGACATCTTACCTGGAGACGAAAACGTTTTGGTTTCATTTGAAAATGTTCAACAGCAAATTGGTTATAACGATTGTGGATTATTTGCGTTGGCTTTTGCTACTTCTCTTTGTTATGAAGATGTTCCATCTTTATTGTTTTATGATCAGAAATCTTTACGTAATCATTATGTTCAATGTATTGAAAATAATAAAATACAACCATGTCCTTCGAAATGGTTGGTAAATTGGTTGATCTTTATTTAAATTAAGTTTTTTCCCATATTTATATAACTGTAATACTTGATTTCTACTTTTTTTTGGAATGTAATAAAGAATTAATAAAGTAAAATTACAACAATTAAGTTAAGGCATTATATGATAATAATCAAGTATATTTAAGACTATGATAAAACTTAATTTTTGCTAATTAGTTTATTATGATTGTCTGGGTGTACATAGTCAAATAGCTATGTACACCCGAGTGCACATAGCCACTTCCACAGAAAAAATTGAAAGCTTCATCAAATGGAAGTAAGTAGATAAGAGTTGCATGCAAAAAATACTCTTATTACATGAGAATCGTACCTAAAATATCTCTATCTAGTGAGTGTACAACTTACAAACTGCGTCTTTGTCACAATAATATTCGTCCAGCGTTTCCCACTCACAATCTTATCGCCACAGTGTGGCTGGGTGAGGTCGTGGGATGTGGGTGAAGAGAAGACAATCACCCACACTACATCACACTCAGAGATGGACAGCTCCGACTTCGGAGCGCGCGCTCCCTGAAGCTAGCTCCGCTCCAGGAGCGGAGTCGGAGCGGTTTTTCTGTCTAATTTTATTTATATGCCCATTTTCGCTTTACTGTTCCGTGAACAATGACAGAAGAACTAATAAAGAAAAGGTTATGATCGACCATTTATTACACTCAATATGTAACTGACACACTTTAATTAGTTCCATGCTTACGACAATTTCGACTGACGGTCATATAGCTGATTGTTCTACGGTTAATTGAGTTATGCTATTGTAAATGTTAAAAAAATGGCATAATGATGTTGACGAAGAGAGAAAATTCGATAATATAAAATGTGTGAGCACTGATAGAATAAAATACAATTTTTTGGCATAGTGATAGTTGAACGAAGAAAATTTGCTATGTGAAAACAATAATATGATCTACAGTATGTACATGATCTAAATAACCTACAGTTTTAATTTATAACTATGGACATTTAAGACACCGGTGCGACGTATGGATGATTGGAGCTGGAGCTGAGCTGGAGAGAGAAATGGCCGAAACTACCCATCTCTGATCACATCCATATCCGCATCCACACCCATCTTTTTGAACGACCTGTAGTTCACTCGGTTTCAACTCAAAAATCTAATTGGACTACACTGGCACTCTATGCATCTCATGCCTTTAGTAACGCATGGTCTCAAACCGACAAGTTTTGTATTGTACAGTTTTCTGTCACGTTAATGTGCGTTTGAGTGAGAAACATAAATAAGCTAGTATACTTCCTCTATTTTGAGAGAAACCTTAGCCTGACACATTTACATTTTATTGCGACCCTTTCTACAGAGGGTATCATTATGCACTTCAGAATATAATACATCTCATTGCTTTCGAATTAGCCTGAGAATCTAGTATGATTTTAATGAAAATCACATCTAATAATGAAATTATCCATATCTGAATATCGCTCAGACTTTTGAGTCAGAATAAGTGATTTTTGACAATCTGTATTTTATTGTCGGAACCAGAAACTGAAAAAGTCATAAAAGGATTGCCACCGGCAACGTCATTGTGCTAGTATACTGCATCAAAAACATACTTTTATTCGTTGCAACTATGATATTTACGATCAGCATACGTCCATTGGTGCATTCATGTGCGTTATCGTTCATATGCATTGAAACTGCATGACACGGCAACAACTTACATATGGAAACTAAACTGTTAACATTCTTCTAAGAAACCTTTTCTATAGTAACGATATTTGCAAATTAAAGGGATAATTAACCAAGTCATTTAATCAAATCAAGTTTACCTTGTTTTTCAGATGTATTGCTAGGTACTGCTATTGAACTGATAAATTTTGTGCCATCGTTCTTATTTTCTAGTTCTTTAGTTTGTTGTTGTTTTCGAGAGGGAATTTTTGTTAGTAATATTTTAAAAAGTCGCGGTACTATTTTTCTTTGAACTGCCTGTAAGCCTTTTAGCCAACCATATTCAGTAACGTTATTTAATACTAATTCATACAGATTTTCTTTATTTGCGATATTGCTTTGTTTCAATAGTTGATAATAATAAAATAATAATAAATAATTCCGGACGATAATACTCACGTAAAGCTTGAAATAACGCCAGCTGTTCCTTATTTATTAGTTTAAACATTACATCTTCAGTGATATAATTAGAAAATTTTTTTATGGATTCTAAACCATCATTTGTTATTGTGAACCATAGATCATCGAATACATGTGTTTCATTCAAACATTCATTATCGATACCTTCAAAAGGAAGTTGCAAAACAATTGATAAGATTGGGCAATTTTTCAAGTATTTATGCCCATAATCAGCTGTTCGATTTAAAACACATTTATATGAACCGTTATCGGCGTCATCTTCGTACATTTTTAAAAATGAAATAAACCATTGATTTGAAGAACCGTATTCTATTTTCCATTGTTTTTCAAAATAATCTCTCAGAGATTTCATCAACGCGCCATCGTTTTCATTTATTGCTGCTGCATATATGTCAGGTAGAAGATCCTCTTCATAATTGGACAATGATCGTCGGCCATTTGTTAACAAATCGTTTATAATTTTATGTTTTTTTTCATCTTCTTCCAAGTCAAAAGCGCGTATTATTTCATCCTTGGCTGGTTTCAACACATCATCATCAACGGCATTGTTAGAATTTCCTGTTGAAGAAGAATGGATTTTTGATAAATCAGAAGATTCTGCCATTTGAAAGTCTTTATTTGTATTCAATGATTAATCAATAAATGTCAAAATCTAAAATAATGAAGAACAATATACTAACTATTAAAAGTCGAAGAGGTTTTTTCGTACGATATGAAGAAGATAGTCACAAGAATAGAAATTATCGGCCCTTCGTAGGGATATTACAATACCAAATCTACCTTAAAACATGGGGTTTTGTGGGTTCGGATTTTGGGTGGTTTTGGGTTTCGTCGTCGGAATTTGGGTTTTGGCGAATACAGTTGAATTGCGATGTTTTTTATTGAAATAAAGTATCTGAATCTGCTTAGGAAATGTCCTCTAAAATAATCAGAAGCAAACTCTGTCAGTAGGCTACAAGAGCTAATTAATCAGGACCCCTGTGGGCGCCCTGGTGAAAAACCGAACACTTTTGTTCTGTTGTTTGGGGCAACATTCCCAAAACAGAACACAAGTGTTCCATTCTGGGGAAACACTGCAGAAGTAGCGCTAAAGTAACACTCACTTGTAGTATCATTATGTATTTTGCTTCTGATTATATAAGAGGACATTTCCTAAGCAGATTCAGATACTTTATTTCAATGAAAAACATCATAATTCAATGTATTCGCTAAAACCCAAATCCCGACGACGAAACCCGAAACTATCCAAAACCCAATACTACCAAAACCAGAACTGACCCAGAATCCGAATTCACAAAACCCGAAACTGCCCCAAAGCTCCAAAGTCCCAAAACCCGGGATATTTGATATTGTTACATCCCTAGCCCTTTGTATACTCATACTATAGCTAAAAAAAATTCTCTTGGTCTTCCTCAAAAGTTACACAACGTCCTCTGACACCAGCCAAAAAAGCACTACTTCAGCTGGGTTCGAATAGAGTGAAGTAGATTCAGGTAACCTTGAAGTAGCTTGAGGTCCGTTATTATCATCTGATCAGTTTTCGAGGTCGTCTTTCTTTCTAATGATAGCAGATACAAGTGAAGTTCTAGCAGCAAATCGGTAAATCTCTTTCGTTTAAGTGCTATATGTATCGGACTCAAGTGAACCGTAAGCTCGAAAACGGATCTCGAAATCTGATTGGCCGTTATGTGTCAGCCAATCAGATTTCGAGACCCTTTTTCGAGCTTATAGTTCACGTGAGTCTCACACACATCTCTAGACCCAAAATCTTGGGGGTGTGTAGGTGTAGGGTGTGCGTGAAGAGAAGACAATCACTCACAAGCATATTCACACCCACACAGCAGGCCCTGCAACGGGCCACAGAAAAGTGGCCCGACCCGGCCCAGGTCCAAAAGATATTTTCTATTACAGAGATTTTTTCTCGATAGAATTCGAGAACCGCTGTAGTAATCATCAAGGCTGTCGGGAGCAAGTAACTAGTGTCATAGAGAATATGATTAGGCTAAATTATCAAAACTATAGTGAGATACAGAGTAGGTAAGTGAATTTGGTTGTCGAGTTAAATAAATAAACAAAGCATGCTGGAATATACGTGAACTCATTACTGATTATTCCGAAATACTCGATGAACTTTAGTTCTGAATTGTTTATTAGAGAAAACCATACGGAATGTACCATATTTTTCGGTGAAAGTATTTTTCAGACTATGAGTTCAATGAGGTACAACGCAATCGAGAATAGTATGCGCAAGGATAAAACAAATTATACACAACGTTTAGAAAACTAGCTCATCGCCTACTAACAATTAAGCTTTATGTAATAACCGATCTTGCTATATCTACAAATTCTCGATATCAAAATTTTCTTCTTTCGATACAGAGACAATTCTGGCTGCGTTCTATCTCACTAGATGGAAGAACCTGCGAAAAAGCTTTCTCTCACAAAAAGGATACAAAGCTCATAGATTTGTCTTATTCTCAAAAAATACCATGTTTCCGATAGATTCACTTGTTAATGAAAGTTGAACAGTTACATAAAGTCTTACAAGCTATTTTCACTCTCAGTAATGTTTTTTAGTGTACACAAAAAGTGGGTACACTACTAGAACCGGTCAGTGTGTCCGGCCGGCCGTTTACACGATAACTTTCGAAAGGAGAGTCAGATCGTGGTGAAATTTTCTACACAGTTTACGAGGGAAGGACACCAACTGATAAATCGCTTTTGAGCCGTAAGGTAGTGGACAATAGGTAATCAAGTGCACTGAATCCGAATATGGCAATCGTTTCGGCCC